TAGCAATAACTTGCTGACCCCGGTATTGCTTCAATTGCTGAATCAAGACAGGGGTCAGCAAGGCGTGACTTGTTGGCCCCGTGGGGTGCCACAGTCGTGGTACTCCGTACGCTACCACACGGGGCCAGCAGGTCAACATTTCTGACGGCCCCGTGTGGCTTCGTGATATTGATTGTAAAAAATATATATGATATTTCAGCCCAGGAATGAACACACCTGTATTCATTTCAAATAAGAGATTGTCAGGGTATTTACATATTGGCAACCTAGGTGTTTGAAGAGTATTTGGCCAGCAATATTGCTGGGAGTATATTGCTTCTGGGAGGCATATTTGCACAATATATTTGTATATATATGTTGTCTCAGATCAATTCCATATACTTGTATAGAAGTATATACAATCAAATATCCTTCACTTCTGTCTTTCCTCCACCTTTCCTAATCTGCACCACCATGTGAATTTTATTGAGGGCAGATAGTTCAGCTTAACAAGGGCCTCTCTGTGCAGTCATATACTACATGATTGATGATTTAGTACCACCTCAGAGAAACTGCAAAAATATCCATGATTTCCCAACCAACCATCCAAATCACAAAGCATGACTTGCATGATATCATCATGACTTGACCTCCAAAGATCATTCCAAGACTTGCCAAATGAGATCACTGTCTGGCAAGTCATGAAGTTGTGCTTATATATGTTCTGTCCACTTTGAATCATTTTCCAATCTCCCCTCAACCCAAACTCCAAATCAAAACCCCAAATCACGTCTGGGGTCATATCAAACCATCTTGAGATCAAATTTATTCATTCACCTCATCTTCAACATTCAAGTACCTTCAGCACATCACAATATATCCAGCTCCTTTCCACTTCATCTAGCTGCAATGAACAAGAGTCAAGCGGAACTACTTCAAAGACATATTGAAAGGAACTCTATTCTTTACGCATATGCACAAAAAATTAGATTAGCCCAAGATCTGTGGGAGCGCAGAATTCAGCTCATCCAGCTTCTGGACGAGGTTGAAGGACAAGTTGAACCCACCAGCATTCTTATGTTGATTGAAATGACCCAACATTTTAAGGAAGTTGTCAAGGAAGCTAGAGAATTCCTCTTTACCTATTGATGCTCCTTTGGTGCATCAGTCAAATCATCCAATGAATTTGAATGTAAGTCTTCATAGGTCTGATAATATTTTGGGTGGATTGTTACTAAATGCATCCAATGTTTCCTGCCTACTGTGTGTTTACAGCAATTTCAATGACAGTATGAATTGTGGTATAGAGGCAAATTGGGGAAAATCAAATTCTTTACAAGTGCGCAAGAGTATGGGAAGGTTTACGTCAATATACATCACATGTTTGATTGCTGCTTTCCTACTTTGCAAGTTTGGCCACATCAAGACATATCACCCACTTAGCAGACATAGATGAACATAATTCCTTCATGGATGCCAATGTGGATGTGATAACCCAACCAAGAATTCCTTTGTTTCTTACATCCATGCTGCAGCTCAAAGGTTGTATTCCTCTGTTCTTTTTTACTCTGAACCAACTTTTTGATTAGAATGGAGCCATTGTTTTGTTGTCCCAATTACATTTCACTTTCTTCATACTCAAGTTTAGAGTGGAATCCACTGAATCACTCCAAGAGCATCTGAAATGGTTCCACACCAGCCCTGCAGCCAGTGCTACCATGAGCAACACACTGGCCTCCTCCAGTTTTTTACCCCTATAGGGTAGTTGGCCAACATCAAGTGAGACCCACTGGGATTTTCCCAAACAATTTGCAAGACAAAGGGAAAAATTTCAACCCTCAACAAAACCAATTCCTTTGCTGCAATTTTTTCCTTCTCCCAACCAACAACTTTCAGCTTTTCCATCTGATTTATACTTCAACTTTTTCATTTTCTCAACCTCAATTGGATCAATAAGTCTTAATATTCACAATTTCAAATTTTAAGCTTGATTATCCAACTTGAATACCTTTTTTCACGAAACCTTGCCAAAATTCCCAAACGCAAGGCAATGGAAGGAACCTCAGGTATCTTCATGCATCATAACCTTGCATATTAACCTTGTGCATTAACTAATTCCATCCAAATCATTCAGCTGATCCAGGTACCAACAGTGGGGGGACCAACAGTGGGCCTGCAGTGCCTGAAAGAGATCCTATCATGGATCAACTTGATAGTCAGTCCAGACATGTCTTCATGTCATGTAAGACTGAGGATCAAACTGACATATCTCTTGCAATCACATCCACCCTCATAGATCATCCAGAGGAAGAGCCTGGACTTAATTTCGAGCAAGCTGTTGCTATTCAGATTGCCAAGGAGAGGGAAGCCAAGCGTCAACAACAACAGCGCAAAACTGAAGCTGAGGAAATGCGTGCCCGAAAAGAGCCCACAGATAGTCTCAAGCTTGTAGGCCTGACCTCTGCTGTTCAAGAGTGGGCTAGGGCTTTACTTGGTCTTCCTCGTCAATCCAGCACCCGGTCATCTCCCAACATTTCAGCTGCTGTCCTCCTTGCACGCCACCTTCCTGACGAACCAACTCCTGAAGAGGTTGAACAGTGGGCCAACTATTCTGACACAAGGACGAAATATCTAGATGTCAACATTCAACAAAAGATGGACGAGCGCTTCAAAAATAACCCCTCAGCAAATGAATCTGTCAAGCATCAAATGAGGATGATCGTGTCAAAAGAAGCTGTTCTCATGTTTAACCAAGCTTTTCCCCCTCCTAAATTTATCTCCCGAGTAGCCCATGCTACGGCGTCGATTACCACCTACGATGCCACTCGCTTAGGATGTGCTGAAGCTAAATTTGCTGGCTGTGGCTTCTCTCGCATCACTTTCCAATGGACGACTCCTCCTAAAACTCCTTGGAACATGGCTATGTTAGACAACTTAATTACTAGCTGGTTAGATTGTTACAATGCTCAAGGTGTACCTTCTGGATTCCCAATCGACAGCAGCCTTAATATTCCCCTCGAAACTAGCGAAATACTTTCACGCTGGGTCTCAAATAAGCGCAGAGTCTTCCGAGATGAGGCAAAGGAAAGGAAGTTGGTGTCTACAGAAGGAGGAAGTGACAAGCTTGTCCGCCAAAAACTTACGGAGAGGGAGAAAACCGCTTTGAAAGCCATTAGGAAGAAGGTAACTATTTCATCCCCTTTCACTGTTGCCACTGTCATAAAGCACCTATACTGACATGTGCATGTGCAGCTTTGTGAAAAACGGGCTGCAGCAGTAGAGCCCTACTTTCGTCACTTCACAGGTCCACTCAAAGTCCTGCTAAACTCTCAAGAGGTTCATTCTGAGACTGAAATGGACCCAGAGAAGCCTGGGAAGTTCAGGAAGGTCAAGCTCAACTGGCGGACCCCCCAGCTTGATGAATTGATCAAACTGGCTGATGATGCAGCTCCCAAAAGGGAGAGCACCAAAAAACAAAAGGATCGACTGAAAGAATTTTTCCAGTCCAGAGGAGAATATTCGCCAAATGTTCCTGATCCAGAAGATCAACTTCCTCCCAAGACTCTTCCCAGATGCCTCATCAAGCCAGAAATACTCACTGAAGGAATAGATGAGATTACAATTGACAGTTTGGAGTTGTCAGACACCACAGTAGATCTTAAGTTGGCCATTGATATTTTGAAGACAAAGCTTGGGAAAAGCAACTCCATGGCGTTCTCTTCCTCCTGAACAGCTGCTCTTATTTTATATCATTTGATGTTTTTGTTACCATTGAAATTACGATAGTCTTCCCAACCTTTTTTTTGAGTATCAGTTCCTTGTGCCACCTGTGTTGTGAAAATCAGATTTCACAATCTGTGACAGCCATACATGAGACTTTACCTTTTAAGGGGTTACTTTGTGGAGAATCCAGTCTGCCCCAGTTCACATAACTCAAAGTCAACCTTGACCACATTTCACTCAACTAACTCTCAACATACTTTGGGATTTTCAAGGTTGCCACTCTCAATCAGTCAATTAGCGTTTTGACATAAATAAGTTCACAACTGTGATTATTGATTTGGAACCATGGGTATAAATTTCCCCATACTTAATCTCCTCAACCACTGAAATTGACATGGTTCCATTCTACCCAGCGTCCACATCACAAAACTCTGCCCCAGCTTGGCCCAATGGTGCTGCACCAAAAGGTCGCAAGGCCAAAAACCGCTCATTCGCCAAGATACTTCCAAAGTCAAATTCCCCCACCTGTAAATCTTTTGCCGAGTTCACACGTTACCTGCTTGGCCACACGAGGAATCACCCACATTTCCCCAACCCGCCAACTGATGATCAGCTGATGTCACTCACACCTCTAACAAAGGAAGACATCCTGACTGACAACTCAGTCTTCATTAACTACAGCTCCAACAATCACCCAAATCCATTGGACTGGAGTGTTTTCAAGGATCTTCTGGCCACTGATATGGCCAACAAACAAATCCAAGGACCTTTTACTTTTGATTGGGAAGCTCAGGGAGGTGAAGACGCTGCATGGAATCAAGTGATGATTTTTTTCACCGTGAAGCATTGGATGTTTGCCAGGAGGGCATCTGCTTTTCAAAAGTTTGGACTGGATGTCGAATGGGAGAAGGAAGTTATCTATATTGGTATTGTTACTCGATGGGTCATTGGGCGAATTGAAGACTGGAAGAATGAGTTTGCCTCTCCGGAAAAGATTGCACAGCGGGAGCGCAGTAGGAAGCGACAAGATGTAAGCTTCCTAGTCCTTTTGGCAACCTATCAAGTTGTGATGGCCATACTGAAACAGTCTACAGCTCTTTATATACCGTAAATCCACTGTCAAACAATTCCTCAAAGACTTTATAGATCTCCTGCCAGAAGCAGCATGTTGCTCTGATACTGAGGATGATTCTCTTGGTCAACAGCGCTCAATTCAGCCTGAATGGCGCAGTGCCAAGTATGGAGAGTGGCTTCATAAGATAGATGTACTTTCATACAATCATCAAGCCACCGTGAAGTTGAGGACTGAAGCAGCTAGGCGATTTGATACTCGACGTGAAGCCGGCAACAAGATCAATCCTTTGGCCAAAGTATGTGGTAATCTTCCAGCGAACTGCTATGATGGTGGGTTCTTGAGGGAATGTGGTGACCTGGAAAAATTGAGATTGGGGGTTACAAACAACACTTCACATCTTGATGATGCACTGCAGGCTATTGCTAGATTGTTGTGAATTGATTCTTCCCACTTAGAAATATAAGTTCCGTGGAGTTGCCTGAAGTGGCCATGATGTACCTAGTATCCAGGATGGAATATGATTATGCGGAACTGCATCTCCAACACCCCAATGGGTATAGTACAAAAAGCCGCAGAAAATGATTATCTGGAAATATCTATTTTAGACTTTTGCAAAAGAACCCATGTATTTTTGCTTCTGCTCTATTGGGCCCCTCTTTTCAAAAGCCTTTTTACAGTTGAGACTCACAATGGATTATGAACATTTTGAAAGCTGCTCCAGACCAGCTTCCAAGGGTTCATAATCCATTGTGAACACAGAGGAAGCCTCACCACTCAGAGCTCTGTCCCATGAAGACCAATATTCATCAATATGACATTTGTATTTTGTTTAATTACTTGTGATAAATAGAAAGTGTACCACTTGTTTCTTATTGAATATGAGGACTGAGCGGTTTGGATAACCCTAACCCTCAGTATTGACATGTAACAGCCTTGAAGTGACCCTTACAGTTCCAGCTTACATCATGTGTATGCTACATGTTACATGTTGGAAGAGCAGCTCGGTACAAAAAGTCAAGAAGCTGAGGTTTCTGAGATTGCACTTTTTGATCAGTCTCTCATCACTGTTCTCCTTCAGTCTCTCATCACTGTTGCCATTCCTCTGGATGACCATTCAGATCTGTGCACTCAAACATCATCTCCTCCACATACCATCAGGCTGGATTTGATCTCTACACTGACCAAATTCATGATTATTAGTCAACCATCCAGTCAAGTCTCTCCCTCTAGACTGTGCGGAAGTTTATACATTGTGTTAGTTTAGTTGTAGAGTGATATTGCTTGCTAGAATATTTCAACATCATCTTCACCAGATGGGTGTATGTGTATATAGTCAATCCAATCTTTCTCTTTGAACCAAGTTGAACTAACGTGCAATCAGAGTTATTGACCCTTGTTGACTTAGGTGATTGAGTTGGGTTACCAAATCTGACTGAATGTCAGATTTGGTAACTCAACTCAATCACCTCAGTCCACAAGGCGATAACTTTGATTGCATGTTAGTTCAACTTGGTTCAAAAAGAGAGATTGCATTTATTCACTCACGCTTCTTTGTAATTCAATTAGTTGAACCAATGTGCGATCAAAATTATTGACCCTTGTTGACTTAGGTGGTTGAGTTGAGTCACAAGATCTGCCTGAATGTCAGGTCTTGTGACTCAACTGAATCACCTCAGTCAACAAGCCAATAACATGATAGCACATTAGTCAAACTTGGTTAAAAGAGAGACATTGGATTTATTAACTCATGCTTCTTTGTAATTCAATCAACAGAAAGCTTTGGTGTGGCAATCCTCAGGTCCAAAACCTGCTTCAAACTGTCCCAGATTCATCATGTTGCTTGTCCTTGGTAGTTGAAAGAGTTGGGGACTGATAACCCAAAAGGCTTTTGTAACCCTAAACATATTGATTCATGTGATCTTTGGTGAGGTGTTGCTCAAGGAGCTCTTGATTTGGTCAATGAGTAATATTCTCAATATCTGTCAACTTATGTTTTGCTGTAGAAGCTTTGGAAGGGGCTCAGAAGGATATCTGGTTGTGGCTTACCTGGAAATCACTCATACCTTCCAAACATTCTCAAGTCTTCATGTGTGGACATGCAACCAAACTTTATTTCACATCATTTTGGAAGATTGTTTGTCTGCCCCTCTAGGCCAAACATTGAGATTGTTTTGAGATTGTTTTGAGATTGAATTGAGCTGGACGTACTCACTGGCCTGCCAGTGAGTAGTAAAATGTCACTGTGCATGGACATAGTGATGATTACCTTTCCGCTCTGGCATCAACTTGCACTGTGGAACAAATATTGCAGCTGGCTTCCAGTAGATTATGGTTGTGGAAAGGTGTGGAGCTGGATGAAGATTTATAAGGAGTGTGTGCAGGTTTTGAAATTGGGCATAGTAATGAGTTAATGACTATTTTTTTTATTTCATCATCCTCTTTTTGATTCTTTATATCTTACTGGTCCTTTTTCATCCAATGATTCATCTGTCTATATTATAATCTTTCATATTACTGTATGTACAACTTTTTCTATTGTATAATGTTTATCTTCTTTATATTACCACCTGAGGTTTTTCAGCAATGCAACACTCAATTGTAGCACATTGTTGCATTACTGAGCCAGTGTTGGAATGTTACACAACTTTTAAGATTATTTTTGGTGATTGATCAAGGACACCAACTTGAAAAAGGAAATGTCACTGGTTTTCATTAGCTTGGAGTCCTCTGGAAGTTGTACAGGACATACGTTGGTGTACAGTAGTACATCAGGGGGTAAAAGCTACCACAGGAAACCAGTTTCTGAAACCTCTCAGAACCATTACATTTTTAATTCATTTGTCTTGATTCTGAGACAATTTCAGATGGGACCATCACCCGCGGTTCCCATCACCAATCCTTTGGGTGCAAGCAAACCACATCCAACACCCCTGCTCAAAACTGTCTCTCACTACCATGTTGATAAATAAGAACACCCTACAAATCTGATAATGTAGTGCTACAAATAAGCACTCCTCTTCAAAGTTTATAAGGTTCACAAACCTTTCAGCTAACCTAATTTAAATGGAGGGAAACATTCAAAGATGAGACACAAGCCTATAATATCTCTCATTAAATGATCTAAGGCAATTGCTGATAAAAAAGTATTATTAAGAGATCTTGTGGTATATTTGAAAGAAAGACTTACTCTCTTTCCAAAAGATAAGGAAAGAGGGCAAAGGAAAGAAAAAACAAGCATATAGTTAGTGACTAATCAAGAAATATGACATATTGGGAATAATTAGCACCAAAATTGTTGTGATTGATGTGTGTCACACATTTTATCAAACACAACTCATAAACAGGAAACCATAAAATTAAAGCCATTTTTGAAACCTTACTAAACACTTAACTACATACCCTGTCTTGATTGCATATCAACATGTTCAAGGTATAATGTGCAGTAAAATATGTCTTGAATCAAAACCTTCAAAAAACTCTTCCAATGGTTTGAGATGCACAACTGCCTTGGAATGAATCATCCAAGGCTTGGAAGTGTGGCTGCATATGAAATATCTTATTTGATCCACTTGCTTTTGGTCTCCTTCAAAGTGATTGGGCAATCACAGATAACACAGGACTGTATGTACATATGTGAACAGGGCTTTTTGGGCTCTTGCTTGCCAAGCAAAATTGGGCCATAATACACAAGAGGATGGCACTTCTTAATTGCTTCCACTCAATATTTCCAGGGGCATGTCACCCCTTTCTCTAATTCTTGAGCATGAGTGGTCAAGCCAGCCTGGCACACTTGAAGACACACACATGCCGTGCCCAAACCACGTGAGCCTAGCACGTGACATACACGGTCACCCATCAATGAGCACACATGTCACAGGTGACTTTGAGTTTACAGGTGCGCTGCAGCGGCCAGCCAGCTGTTACCTGTAGCGTGGTGGTGTATCGTATATTTGCTGACACTACAATTAGCATCAGCATCAGGATTGATGAGTTGAATTTGAGTCAATATCATTCTCAAGATCGAAGACTGACGCGTTCTTTTGTGTGATGTTTCATATTTCCACACTTTCTCAAATGTATTCTCAAACAACAAGTTCATAAGACAACAATCATCAACACACGCCTGAGGATCAGCTCTCGGTTGTTTCTTCATCATGCCCGACAATCACGATGAGTTCTTTGACGAGGATGATGATAGCTTCTTTAACGATGCAGCAGTTCTTGCCCAATTAGATGAAGTTGAGACTCAATTCACGAACACCCAAAAAGTTTCCCAACCTCCAGTCCCACCTACCAAGCGACCTAAGCTCAACCATCCAGTTGCTTCACGTTCGATCGCACAACAACGACATGACCCCATGGATTATGATGGTCCTTCATTTTACGTGGACGAAGCAGGACAATATCATAACTATAAGTCTCCCGATCAACCTCAAAGAAACCGCGCTGGAGTCTTGCCAAGTGAACCAAGAATCGTAAAGCCATCTGTCAGCGTGCAATCAAATCGACCGACTTCAAACAATGTACAACAATACGCACTCCAAACACGACAACAACCGCTTAAATCAGGTCCCATCCAATATCCACGTGGTTTGTTCAATTCTGTAAAGCTTGATGAGGGGCATTGGAATCCTGACATATATCATGGTTTGTAGAGCCAGCCGCCATCAACCGCAATCTAAGTCTTGGTATGCAAGCACTTAGAACTGGTACTGCGACTAGCGTACCTCCTCAACCTAGAGCCGCAGAGTCATCGCGTCCTGGCATCAGATCGCATGTTCCACCGGGCCGGCCTGCCGAGATGAGTTTACAACGGGCACCTGTCTTACAAACTAGTCACAAACCTCCTCAACCACCTTCTCGTGCCAGTTTAGGGCCTCTCCAGACATTTTCGCGCGGGGGGGACCAAGTCATGAATCTTGAAAACGCAAATCCACGCTCAATACAGGCTCCCCAGCGTGATCAGGTCATGGAGGGATATAAAGCAGCCGCCCCACCTCGAGCCCTCCCTTCGAGACCATTATTTCGAGCCGATCTAAACCCTGATCCTTCGCCTCCCACCCATGCACCCGATTCGAGAATGCTCGAATTACAGATAAACCAACAGCAGGAATTAGAGCGTTTACGACACCAGATGGAATCAATGAACCAAGCACTCAGAGAAGCCAATCTAGAAAAAACAAGATTGAGAGGAGAAGTTTCAATTGTTCGATCAAGCTTGACAAATCATCAAACAAGCTCTTTACAACAAATCCAAAGCCTTCGACAAACTGAACAAAAGATCAAAGCAAGAGCAGAAGCAGCAGAGAGAGAACTTGAGCGTCTTCAAAGAGAAAAAGAGACCAATCAAATCTTTAGAGGTTTAGAAGCTAATGCTAGAAAACCTCCTACATCAGTTGCTCGTAAACATCAGGGTAATAGTACTCAATTAACTCAAACTCAAAACTTACCACCGCCACCTGGGACATCGAACGTAAGACCACCCTCAAAGAAGGAGAAAGCTCCAGCCTTTCGCGGTTTTAGAGATGCATTTGATGTGTCTCATGCTCCAGTCTCAGATTCTCAACCGTCACAGTCTACTTCTCAAAGGGTAAACCCAAATGCGTCCCAACGCTTGGTTGATCCTATGGTAGATCGTCCATCTCGCCGAAATTCCTCTGGCAATGACCAAATCCCACGAGGCCCTCAAGTGAACCAATCTGAGACGATGAACGTGGCAGAGCTTGAACGGAACTGTCGTTCAAAACCCATAGAAATTTCACATCGGGTGTGCTATTCAAATTTTCTATCTTTTGTTTCATCTCTCTATACTGTAGGACTATATCCTTAACAAACATCACTTTTGAATACAAAATAGATCATAGCCAACTTGCTACACAATTTCATTATCGATGTGAATCCCAATGTTCCTTCAAAGGAATCCAATTTAGTCGTCGGACTTCAGTTCATCTTACAATGTGAATTCCAAGACCAAAGTATTCAGTCAGAATATAATCGAGTCACTCGAGAATTATTTAATTCTTTGGGTAAATCAATGACAACTGAATGGTCGAATTCAAAAGAGGAAAATCAAGACTCTACTAACTTGGTGATCGGAATCGGGGGGAGTATATTCGAGCTGACTGAAGTGTTTTATAATGCTCGTTTGGTGAGCTCATTTACTTCATCACTTCAATATGTTCTGTTGAACTAATAGTGATTTCATGAGACCCAATTTCTTCAATGACTGTTGATTAAATTTAAACACTAACAAAAAACAATTATGATCGAATTTATCAAGTTAGATTCGATGTTAATTTCGATTTCGATCATCACTTTACTTTGTGAAACGACTCCATTGTTTTGTTCATTATATTTTGAACATCCTGAACTTAAGAAAGGTTATGACTTGATACCACTTTTAGTAAAACTGATTAATGAATTTGGATGTCTGAATGTGAATGAAAAGTTGGAAGAAGAAAGATTTAGAGATCGATTGATGGAGAATCTATTGGATTTACTTGAGATTCTGGTTTGGGGTCCCACTGAGGTGAGTCAACTCAAACTTTGTGAATCCAAATGTCGATGCCTAGCTGATCTTGTATGTTATTTCTTCAAGCACGGCGCCTCGAGATTGGGACAGTTGCTAGATTCTCAGTATGTGTTTGATACACTTCTGAATGTCAATCAACAGGAAAGGTTCCTTTCGCGTTCGATAAGTCTTTTGACGTTACTTGCGAGCGGTAAGCTTGAGGTAGACGGACTCAAGATCATATATCTAAAACCGACTTGTATACTGAAAACGCAACTCTTTGATTGTTTTCAGAACCCACATTGATAGATCACATCTTCACAATACCCTTTAGACCAACAAGTTCAGATTCTCCTGACCATTCCACTAAGTCAACGATACAAAACCAAGCTTTCTTTACTCCTTTGATCGAAAGACTTGTATCCTTTATGTCATCTTCGGATACGATTCCTTCAAAAGTTTTAAGATTATTGATTATTTTTGGATCAACGGATGAGAATGGATTAAATCGAATCACTCATTCTCCTACTTTAATTGCAAGGGTTGTTAGATTAATATGTGAAGATTGTGATTCATTATTAAAAGGTGATGGTGGAGTTAAATATCGTGCTCAATTAGTTTCGTAAGAAATACTCCCTTTTCTCTCACCAATCCTTTCCTTGAAGATTATAGAAGACTAATCAGTTTTTTTGGGGGCAATTTTGGATTCAAAAGGTCTTTAGACAGATTGGAATTATCTATTGAATTGATTTATCAAATCGTATTTCAACCAGGAACTAAAACTTCATTGATGGACTACCTTAGAATAGCATCATATCATCTTCCAGGAATTTATCATGAATTCATAGTTGGAGTTGGAAAAATCGCTTATAGTGAACTACCTAGAACAAACTATTTGGATGTACAACAAACTTCTAGACTTGATAAGATTAGTGGTGGGTGATTACGATCTGTTTTCACTTTCTGAACTTTGAAAAAGAAGAAGAAAACTGAACTAATATTTGGTTTGCTTTTATGGGACGTTTTTTGTTTATAAGATTTGGCATTAGATTTACTTGAATCGGTTGCTTCTCCGGATGAAGCTGATGATCTATTTCAATGTTGTGATGATATGACTCCACCAGAAGAAACAAATCCATAAGAAAAGATACGAAATCCATTATTCAGTAAAGCAAAGGGAAGGATGAAAAGTAAATAATCTTGACTTCAGATATACGCAGTGTGAATTATTATAGAAATCCAAGCAATCATCTTTTGCCTTGTTGGCTTGTTTCTTGTTTTGTTGCTTTGTGTTTGGGACTGAATGACCTTTGGTTTGGTTTGAGGAAGTAAAAGAGGAGTATGCAATGTAACTATCAATTTGTAGCTATGTGGTGTGGATGATTCCCTCAGCCAAATGCTATGAATTGTGATGAAATTTGATAGGGACCTACCTCAACAAAGTCCACTCATTCTGTGAGCACAAGGAACAAGGGACTTCCAGCACAAGTCAAACTTGTGGATGATGGGCACAATTTGTATCAATGGAACTTGTTTTCCACAACTATGACAGTTCCTTGCAAGTTCAGAAGAGGAACATACTTTCATGCATAGTGCAATTGCTATATGGATGTGTATGTATTAGATGCAGCCTTTCTGAACTCATTGCACAGCATTTTTGTGGAACCAAAGCCATGGTGGCATTCATTTCAACTCACCAGGCTAAAGGAAGAAGTCCACTCCAATGGTCATGAGCTCCTGTCTTAAGATCATGCTGCCATTTTGAGATGTGTACTCATGGTGAAATGTACTGGAATCAGTTTTGTGGAGTGATGTGTCAGGGAGAACCCAAGGGGTTGACCTTCTTAGCAAGCATGTATGCAATATTGTATGCAACTGAACGGTGTATAAGCTGTTTTCATGAAGCAAGTGGTATGCCAATGCTGGTTCTGCAATTCAAGACCACAGGTCCATAGGGTCCTACTGACACTACTTGTGTAAGAAGAGGCCCTTCCAGGGATGTAAAAATTGTCCTGCACTTACTATCAAATGTCATTGCTGCATGACATGTTTCATGGATCAATTTGGGGACATGCGGAGAACTGTGACCATCTCAAAGACATGAAGACCAATCAATGATTTCACCAAGCAATGGGCTTGTTTTTTTTCACTATCCACTTTTCATTTGTTATAATCGGGACTCAGAGGATGTATGTGTTGGATTTTTCCTATCTAGTTTAAAGGTCTGCTAGCCACAACCCACAAACCAAACTTCATTTGTGTTATGATCCACACCTAGTTATATTTTCCTTTTACTCACTTCTCACTGAGAAATCAAGTCATATGTTCCTCAGACTCTGACCTCCCTTCCCTTGATCAACAATTAATTGTACCTTCCAGAGATCTTTCACTACTCTGTCTCCCGTGGATACAACTCATCTGATGGCCTGGCCCAGGAGCAAGAAACTGCTGGTCCAAATCATTCAAATAATCTCTTGCTTTCACTACATGACTATGAAACTCAATTACCTGCAATGATTCTATCAGTGAGTGGACATGATATCTTGATCCTAATTAGCTGTGTTGATTTGCATTTATCCCAAACCACAAGAAATAGTATTACAGTCAAACCCCTCTAAATCCATACCCCTCGGTGGAAAGGAAAATGTATGGCTATACACGTAATCCCCTCTAAAGACATGGAAAACATGGCTGTAGAGGGTATCAAAGTGCAGCCATACATATAAAACCCTCTGAAGACATAGAAATCATGTTTGTAGAGGGGTTTTTATGTATATGGCTTGGGCTCTCAGTTGATCTTGCTGAAAAAAATTGAATTTTCTATCAAAGTTTTCAGTAATTGATGTGTTGAGTATCTTATGAGAAGAAAATATTTGATTTTGTAAGTACATCACAAAAGTTTAGTTTCTACTAAAGAAAGAAGTGATGGAGGGCTGAAACTTGTTAGCAAAAAGGGTCTGACTGGTCAATGCGCTTTCAAGAGGAGGAAGAAAGGGGTCAATAGCTGTGCCTTCAGGAAGATCAGAACTTTCAATGAATTGGATGAGTAAAGAAACCGCCTTCAAAGCTTCAGAAGCTGTTGGAGGTATCACTGGGTCAACCACCTCCATCTGAGCAGCCTCGATTTCTAATTGAGTCTGCACCTCAAACCATTCCTCGGCTGTTGCTGAAACAGGTTGAGGATTCTCATCTTCCGGGTTCAAAAGCTCAGAAATTGACATTCTGTTAGCTGAACCAACAATTCCTGCATCCTTGAGTGCTTGAAGGCTGGCCTCAAGATTAACATTTGGAATAAGTGCTATGTATAAAATACAAATACCAGTTAGATTTTATTCCCAATTAAAAAAGAAAAAGAAATTTTTTACATACATCTGTTCGATTCCATCTCCAAAATCAACAATTCCTGTATGACGCCAACAACTCTTAATGCTTGTTGAACTGACCAAAGACCATGCAAGCTTTGCCATTCGCATGGCAGTTAAGATATTGATGGTGTGAAGCTTAGACATCTCGACATGGGCCTTGAATCTTTGTAGTGAACGGGAAAGGAATTGTTGTCAGTATTGAGCTTTGAAAGCATTGATGATACCGGCATCCAAAGGCTGGACATGTGCAGTGAGATTGGGCTTGAAGAATTCCATTCGGATGTTCTTCAGAAAACCATCAGGCACTGAATGACCGGAGAAGTTGTCAATAAGTAGAAGGATCCGACGCCCTTGATTTCCGAGTTGATGATCTCAAGATCCAATCCATTGTTGGAAGATCCTGGTGTCCATCCACACATTCTTGCTTACATAGGATTTGATCTTTAAAGCTTGAGGCGTGAGTTTATTGAAGCAGTGGGGACTTTTGTATTGACCAATGAAGCAGACCGGAGTTCCAAGGCAATCGGAGCCATCAGCATTACAAGGCAAGAAAACTGTAATGTGATCTTTAGATGCTTTGACCCCATGACCTCCTTGTTGGGCAAGGCCTTGGTCAGGAGGTAGTCTGAAAGATATCAAAAATAAATTAGTAAATGATAATGTATATGTACAAGAAATGAAAAGTACTTATGCATAACATAGACCAGTTTTGTCCATGTTGTATATATCAGCTGGCTTGTAGCCAGCAGTGATCGCACGCACACATTCAACTTCAGTTTTGACTTTTTCCTGAGATGCTGAAGCAGCTTCTCCGTGCTTTTTGTATCCGTGCAGGTTGTTTTGCTTCTTGAAACAGTCCAACCAACCACCACTAAGACTCAGCCAGGAACCACTTGGTATACCTTGAAGTCGAGCAAATTCACGCCACTGTTCCTTGATCTTGTCACCAGATAAGAGAAGGCCATTTTGGTTTGCATTCTGAATGTATGTAACAAGGAGCTTATCGACTTTGGGAAAGGTGACTTCTTTTGTTCTCTTGAAGTTTCCTCCTGACTTTGTAAATTTCACACAAATTGCAATCTCTTTTTTGATCCAAGAACTGACGAGAGGTTGAGTGAGGTTGAGGTGCGGATAGAGTGACTCAAAATGTCTTGCAGTTTTTGATTGGTTCTTTCCATTAGCATGATACCAGTCCAACACATAAATTTTCTCATTGAATGTCGCAGAACATTGTTTGTCAGGTTTCTTGGGAGCTGAAAGTTTTTGAAGGGTTTTGCTGCTGGACAAAGTAGGCTGAACAAGGCCTTTTTTTCTCGTCTTTTT